CGTTAACACCGCAACGCTTTTAAGTAACGGTGAATCTTCATGTATCGACCTTTTTATAAAAAGCAACATATATTACTACTTTCAGATGACTTCTGATGGCATCACAGCCATGAAAACCTTAAGCCATGAAAATTCAAAAACTTAACCTGCCTTCCTGGTGCACTGATCTCGCCAAATACCGACGGTTACCAAAAAATAGTCATTGCGTAACCATAACAAATCTCAATCTTTCTCAGAAAGACTAGAGCCGAATTTCTCAATGACAACAAAATACGGCGAATGGTTACGAAAGCAACAGAAAAGGCAGTACTGCTCAAAAGATACCATTGGATTTTTGAAGGTATTCTGAAATTATGCTGTCCTTCATAACATGACCTCCGTATGCCTGTCGCCGAGAGTCGGCAATGACCAAAGTACGGGATCATATGGCAGGACGATTTTCGGTGTAATCCCTGAGCCGCAGCGGTATTCGTGAAGACCTACCAGGGACCTCGAAACGCACGGTCAACGCTGCAGCATACAAATGCAATTGACAACGGTCTCAATATCCTTTCAGACAATTTCATGTAAAAGGATAGATCAACTATAAAGACTGTGGCAAAACCGGACGAAACGTGACTATAAGAAATCTACTTCATCTACATCTTCCATGGCCGCTTCTCCTTTCGGGTCGCGGACGCAGACACGTCAAACAGAGCTTCCAACGTTCCCGATCGTGTACCAGAGTCTGAGCTTCGGCAAAAGACAAATGGAGTCTAGAACAGACACCTTTTATGTATTTGTACCAAGTTAATCTCCGCCTTCCTCTGGGCCTTCTGCCGGTCGGATTTGCAAGCAACAGCTGCTTAGCCTTCCTTTCTGGAGGCATTCACAGCACATGCCCAAGCCATCGCAGCTGTGACTTCTCAATCTGAAGAAGCAAATCCTGTAGACCAAGGCTCTTCGACACATCAGTATTCCGGACCATGTCGAGACGCGTAAGACCGGCGACTCGTCTAAGAAAGCCCATTTCAGCAGCTTGTACCCGGGTTCGAAGTTTTTCAGTGATGGTCC